TTGCCGCCAAATAACTGGGACCAAGATGGCGGTTTTTTATCGATATTAGTATTATATGCTGTTAATTCAAATAACGAGATATTATCGCTATTTTATTGTCATTTTAGGTGACATATATTTTTTGGAGACCCCGATCTATGTGAAATTAAAATCTGTGTAAAATTAAAACAATTTTTTAAAAATTAAAAATGCACGGAGCAAACTTTTGGTGACAACCCCCCTGGGTCGTGTTTGTTAATTTTTTATAGTTTAAAAAATATATTTCGCTTGGAAAAAGAGTGAGGGGTCCACCACATAGGTCGGGATCTTAAGACTATTATAGATAAAAAGCCGCCGCCATTTTAGTGAAAATTATTTCGAATATAAATAACAAAACAGGCTTCATTTTCTACTTACACATAAATAGAGGCACCATAAACAAAAATGTGTTTTAGATCTACGAGTTCATTGAATTAAATATCATGATTGGTCTAACAAAAATAAACTTAATCAAAAAATATGTAAATGTATCCAAAGAAAGCTTTGTATTCCTAACAAATAGCTGAAAAGTCCTTTTCTTTTCACACAAAAAATATACGGGTTGTTCAAAAAAATCTATTTAGTAGCCTTTGATATTACCCATTTCTTGGTTTAATTTTATTTAAGATCCAAAAAAACTTTTAATATATAGTCGCGACTCGCGATTTCACTCGCTAGATCGTTTTATAAAGTAAAACATTCCGGAATAAATACCATTCGTGAATAAAAATTGTAATTTTTGTCATATTTTTTTAAAACAAATCCTTTTTTCAAACCACCTGTATAAATATTAATATTATAAAAAAAAAGTAATTTAGCAGCTAATTCACTAGTTTGACAGAATAAAAATATTAGAAAAAAAATCATCGTCATGACACATCGAAAGCGTTCGTGTAGACGATGGCAAGAAATAATAAATAATAAAAACCACATATGTACTTAAGAAGAAATCCCAATTTCGACAATACAGTTAAATATGTAAGAGAAACTTATATTATTATTTTTAATTCATACATTATATGTATTTAAAAAAAAACACAAATTTATTTAAGACGAACGCTTTCAACGTATACAAACAAACAAATATTGATTAAAAACTCCTAAACAAGCGTGAGATTCCGACATCCCCTCCAATCTCTCCCCAAACACATCTAGTATAATGTAAAAAGCGAAAAAACCAATCAAAATCAGAACTGAATAAACCGAAACGTACTAAACTAAAAACGAAAAAAAAAGTATGTTAATGTAAATTTAATAAAAAAAAACTGCTGGAAATAAAAGGTAAAATGGTTCTACCTTGCAGTTTTAGTACATTTTGGCTCATTCGGTTCTAAAAATTCCGACCAACACACAAATGACGGTGTTTCCACAATCTTATATAACACAAGACTATAATATTCTAGTAACATTACCTATATTCATATTCATTTGCTTATTGACGATTTTCTGAATATCGTATTCTATAGCCGTCCCTTTCCCTCGACCGCTATTAGAGGGAGACACCACTATTAACACAACTACGCACTTTTTTTGAATATTAGATATTAAAAAAAGGTTTCATTTGAAGTTTAATCTATACAGATAAATAAAATTGAAGTTTCTGCATGATATGTTAAAATATATAGAGTACTAATAACAAAAACAAAATTATTAAAAAAATTATCCGTCAGTTTGTCCCTGCTAATCTCCGAAACGGCTGGACTGATTATGATGGGATTTTGACTGGCGGATAACAAAAAACAATTTTATTTTTTGTCGTCTGCCTGTCTGTTTGTTCCGGCTACTCTCAAACAGCTGAACAGATTAAGACAGGACTCACTGGTAGTAGATGGCTGATATTATAAGAAGTAATATAGGCTACTTTTATTTAAGAAAAAGAATCAGGGCTCCGCGCCAAAAAATAAAACCCATGAAATTGTAAACAAAATCCTGAGTTTCTAGTATTAAATATAAACAAAAGTTTTATCTGAAGGATAGTTTTAAATACAAATATAGAATACGGTATCCAGAAAACTACAAAATTAACTAGAATATATAGATAACCAAACTGTTAGCTCATTCACACGCCACACTCACGTCACGACCCCACGTTACGTCATGTGACGGCACGTTGTGACATTATGTCACGTCATGTTACGTCACGCGACGTCTCGTCGTCGTACGTCACGCACAACCTCTGTTTAAATTTTCTCAATTACATATAACTAATATTGGCTTTGTGCTGTTTGTGCGTTAGAGTAATACTTGTCACATTCATAAATATTCATTCGAATCAAAATTATTTTTAATTATACGTAAAATAAAAAACAATGTTAATTTTGTAAGGGGCCGTTCATAAAATACGTCACACTAAAATCAGCTTTTTTTGACCCCCTCCCCCCTTATTGTTACGCTGTGTCACACTTTCTGTATATAATAAATACATGAGAAACCGTATTTTCATTTGTTACTGAATCTAGAGCGCAGGGTACGTGGAAACTCAAGTATTAGAAAAACAAAGAAACCAGTTGTGACGGATCGCAACGCCACTAGAGTCGCGCCACAGAGCTAGCGCTCATGTCAAAAAATAATAAACGGCGAACGTCACGTTGCCGTATACCCCCCGTCCCCCCTTGTCACATCTTGTCACACTCAGCCAGACCCCTCCCCTCCCCTTGTATGCGAACGTATTTTATGAACGGCCCCTAAGTAAAAAATATGTATATATTAATTATAACTTTTTTTAATTTGTACCTAGAAACCAAAACTGTATATCAAATATCGTATATTATATTCTCAGATGGACTACTCTCTATACTAAAAATTATAAAATTTTAGAAAAAAAAAATTCATCATAATATGTAACGCACAGACATACAAACAGCACAAAACCACATGTAAAGTCTAGTCGTAAAGCGGCTCGCCGCCATAATACTATGCGAAGGTATCTCGCTCTAAGTTATGTTCGCCACTTGAAAATAAATGAAGTTCTAACAACGAAATGAAATTCATTAATTTTAAAACTTCATTAATTTTATAATGTGCCACTAATGTTAAAAAAATACTCAATAGAAAATAAATGAAGTACACTAACAATTAAAACGATTTCATGAAGTTCATTAATTTTAAAACTTAATAAATATTTTGTGCCATTGTTGTTAAAAAAAAACAATCCAATAGAAAATGAATGAAGTACACTAACAACGAAATGAACTCAAGAAGTTCATTAATTTTCAAACTTCATATATTTTATAATGTGACATGTTAAAAAAAATACATACCTCAACATTATAGTGTGTTCGCTAGTAATTGTATGACTTTCAAGCGACTTCACTAATAGAGGATATATTATTTATAATGAAATACTTCATTGCTATGCCAATATCCGGTAGATGGCGATGTAGTCAAAAAACAAACAAACTCTCAATATATTCATATATCCAAACAAAAAACAATTAAAATTACTCGATAACTGTCACTGAGAGTGTTATTGAAACTAAACAAATAACATAATACACATACTGACAACATTTTAAAGTTCATCAATGTTTTTAAATTGAAAATATTGGAATGTAAAATCTTTTTTTTTATAAATAATACATATTTAAAGGAACAATTAGAGAGCTATAGCAAGTGACGAACATACATTAAACACATCACAGTTAATATTAGCGGGCTAAGCGGATTCACCGACGGGGCACAATTTTAAGGCACCCTTTCATTATTATTGGGTACATTTAACTTTTAAAGAAAAAATAGTTTGTTTAATATATAATATTATATGTATATATATAAAATGTCGTCATTTTCTGCAATAATTATAATTATTATCAAAATGTTGATGGTGGAGTGGTAAAAGGCAGTGGTAGCCCAGTGGTAACGCGCTCGCTCGCGAAATCGAGTGAAGCGGGTTCAAAACTGGGGTCTCGCATCTCTGATATGCATATGCGAATCATTTCCAACATGATTACCACTCGTCTTACGGTGAGGGAAAGACATGCTCAGTCCGCCCGCACTCGGCCAGCGTGTTGGACTATGTTATGATATCGTATTGAAGGGCATACATACATTATCACAATGAAAATTAATAAACAATCTTTCAATTGATTGACCTTAATAACAATATTTATTAGTAGTTTTCCTTACTAAAGATAAGACATTCAACATCTACATACAAACCAGGTTGTATGTCTATACAGCTAAATAGAATTGAAGTGTATGTATGTAATGTCAAAATAACAGCTTTTTACTCAATGCATATAAAATTATATACGGTACTAATAACAAAAGCAAAATTATTAAAGTTTTTGTCCGTCAATGTGTCCCTGCTAATCTCCGAAACGGCTGGACTGATTATGATGGGTCTTTGACTGGCGGATAGCTTATATGATAAGGAATAACTTAGGTTACATTTATTGTAAAAAAAAATGAATTATTAAAGACAGACAACTTATTGGTATATGAATATTCGAGATAGAAATTACACAAGTTTCATTGTAATTACTTTGGCCAAACAATCGAAACACAGATAGGTTATTATTTTTCCTTACAAATGGAAAATATAATAATATATGCCTGTATAATGTATACAGAGTGTTTGATTATATAGAAAATATTAAAATTAAAACAGTTCATATATAATTATTATTACTTAAATTTAATACAGAATAAACAATTTTTGAAAACAAATAATATTCGAATATATTTTACAGTATATATATTATATATACTTTAGCTTATGACCAAATTCAAACACCCTATACATACATCACTTAATTATAACAAACCGGATCGATATCAAAATATCAAAAATAACATCTATTACTTAGTAAAAAGTTGCATCATTTCAGGAAAAGACGACAAGATTATTAAGAGTTTTAGTTTCTAACTTGTAGTACTTTCATCATATATTTAAAATTTCCCATAGCTTAGTGATGTTTGGGGCGTGTTAGTGCCCGTCGGTCAACGTGTTCGATGCCGCTGACGCGACACCTTTAAAGTTAACGCCACCTAGAAAAAAAAATACGTTTAGATCTATGGCCTATAATAACGTTGTTTTTATTGGCTTGTGGTGTAGTACTTTTTTTATTTTACATTATGTACATATGTATGTATGCATGCATGTATGTATATACACATCTGGACCACTATTGAAAAAAAATTGTTCGCGTTTGAGTAGAACTGGACTCGGTAGATGGCACTGCAGTCAAATACTAGGTTTTGTTTTTTTCATATACAGAAGATAAATAAGTTTGTTTTTACAGAACGTCTATCGGATCCGCTAGTGTATGCATATACTCGCACCTCCAGGTAAATTTCTAAGAAATTAATTAAAATTCTAAATTATTAACTGACACGCCGGCGTGTCCGCGGTCGTGGAGTGATTAAATGTATCAATGTGTCAGTGGCGAAGAGTGATATATTTTCTAAAGAACATTTATACATTTAAAAAATTATAGCAAAATAATTTTAAGGTAAGAAATCTTGTATGGACCCTTCGCCACTGGTATGTGTGTATATATGTGTGTATCTATGTATGTATGTATGTATGCATGTACGGTATATACTCACAGCACTTGGTGCGGCTGTATGGCAGCGAGGTGCGCGGGCGATGGCGGCACGCCGGGAGGTGCGGGCGGCAGCAGAGTCTGTGCGAGGCCCTCGAACCTACCACCTGCCTCGAAACCGTTCTGTGGGAACAACAATGAAAATAATTATATCTATACTAATATCATAAAGAGTTAAAAGTTTCTGAGTTTGTGACGTTGTAGGGGGTAATCTCTGGATCTACTGCACCGATTTAGATGAAATTTGGTAAGAAGATAGTTTGAGACCCTGGAAAGGACATAGGATACTTTTTATCCCGGAAATCATCCCTTAAGGTGGTGAAAATGGGGATGACAGTTTGTATTGGGAAGCAAGCTAGGGTGAGTCGCTACTTGTTTTAATACTTACAAAGGCAGTGGTAGCCAAGTGGTGACGCACTCACTTGGGAAACCGAGTGAGTGCGGGTTCAAATCCTGATTCGAGTCTCGTACCTCTGAATGTCTCATGTGCGAATCATTTCCAACATTCTTATCACTTGTCTTACGGTGAAGGAAAACATCGTGAGGAAACCTGCATGTCTGAGTGAACCTAGCAAGTTTTCGAAAGACATGCTCAGTTTGCCCGCACTTGTCCGGCTTGGTGGACTATCGCCTCCTCGTATTAAATGGAAGCCCATTAAAAAAGGGCTGAATACATAAATATTTACTTACGCCACGTATAATTTTTTTTGACATAAATACCATAACTGTTCCACTTACAGGAATCATGATAGTCGGACGCAGCGGTTGTATGGAGGGCTGGACCGCTGTGGGATAGTATGGGTAGTACTGCACGGGATAGCCTATGTATCCGGGATAGCCAGCAGCCGCTGCATACATAGCCGCTGCTGGGCTATACATCTGTTGGGATAGAATTTTGTTTGTACATCTATATATATAAAAAAACTAGTTTCTTCTGAGATATCTACTCATTTTATCTGTACAATGTCCCTTCTTTACAATATCACATACATCAAATCTTCATAAGTAATTAATCTTTCAAACTCAAAATATTCTATTGCAAGAATATTGACTGAATTATACCTTATGCAACATTTTACAAACAAACACTATACATCTACCATAAATTCTAAAGGAATCTTACAGCTCTTGATAAAAAAAAAATACCAACCTAAACTAATCTATATCCTACACATCAACACCATAAAAATACTAAAAAAAAAGTCGGCCATTGTCGTGGGACACCAGGCAGAAGTTCCTTTCACTGTTTGCCCTTCTCTTATAAATTAGGTTATAATTCATCAAGCTACGTATATTGTACATGTTGAAACTCACCCACGAAACACCTGCACAGAGTGCACGCGAATATCTTACAACATACACTCCTCAACACTCATGCTCGCCTGGTACTTGTGATGACGTCACACGTGGTGCTCTTAGTAAATAAACAAGTGTCGTGACGGTCGAAACATTTCACTTCTTTCCGTCTCGCTCTCATTCGCCAAGTATGCCGTAAGGAACATCGTTCTAAAAAGCTTATTTATCGTAATAGCGCTTATTAAATTTAACCCAACACACCATAACCCATACTCACAGGCAACTGCTGGCTAAGTGCCGGTATCGCCTGGTGGTGTTGCAGCTGATCGTAGGGTGGCGGCGCATACACTCCGCCAGCGCCTGCGCCCGCACCCCCAAAAGTCACCCCGTATGGAGAGCCGCCCGCTACTAACATTTGCGCTTTATGATTAAGACGATTTGTTTTAAATTCATGATTTTCACACGTCGAATTACTACATATTATAAATACAAAAGTGTGTGTGTGTTTGTATGTTTGTTTGTTGCTCCTTGAAAATCACATGGCTGAACAGATTTGGATAAAATTTAGTTCACAGATGGACTAACCTGAAGTAACACATGCTACTGTTAATTTTCCGTAATAAGAAATGTATTATCACGGCTCTATTATCCGACTTTACGAGAATGAGGTTATTTTTTTTTAATTGTTGCTACCTCTAGTACGCTCTATAAACCGTGTTATAAATAACATGTGATGTCGCTAATTGGTCTCGATTAAGTAGTGACACATTGTGCTCAATTTAGTTTTTTTTTTGCGCAGACATTTTTTTTATTTTTACATGGTCACGGCCATTTTTACTGTGTCCAAAGTTGCTGGATCGTTGTTCGGAAGCATGTTAGTGGTTATAGAGCTTGCCTCTTTGTTTGTTTTACAATAAGTTTTAAAATATCACTCACCAAATACGCAAATAGATTATAGAAAGAACAAAAAATATATATGTAATGTTTTTTATTTAATAAACTTATTATTATTATCATCACATCATTTTATGGGGAAAAGGAGTAATTAACGGGGATGAAATGTGTGTGTTTTGGTATTAGAAGAGCACAATATTGTATCGTCAAAATGGATCAAAAAAGTACTAGATACACAATCAGCGACAAAAAACGTCCTCACTGAACGAGCGCTCATTTGAACATTTGAGCGCGCTTTGTGCATTGCATTTATGGTTCAATTTACAAAGCTATGATCGTCAAGTAATACAATGTTTTACTAATTTAAACTTCCATCTGTGTGGGTTATTGAAACCATGATTGTAAGAACCAGAGACATTTTATTGGGATTATCCGTTATTACCATCAATTCCCGGAGCAATTGGGTTTTTTGTATTAACATAAGTTGACAACACTGAGATAAAAATTAAATTAGAAAAAGATTAAATATTTATACATATATTATTATCTGTAATGGACTTATTTATATAACAGAAAAGTTCATTGTTGGACTATTACAAGTGTCTCGAGATGCGCCGAATATTTTGGTCGAATAAATATTTTTTTATGTTCATATGATTTTATGTTTTTTGGTCCAATATTCGATAACCGAATATTTAAATAGTGTAATTTTAAGATTAAAATATTTATATCATAAACAATCCTCAGAACCAAACAGTCCATTTTTAACCAACCATTACTATTTACTAATTCACAAAATGAAAATTAAAAATCGAATAATTCAGCCATAATATATTCGATTCGTAAAATTTTGGACCGAATATTCAGCTGAACATTCGTATTCGGTTGCATCAAGGTCCATATTCAGCGCATCCCTATTAATTTTCAAAGCGATTCTGTCAACTTACCTCCATACTGCGGTGCGGCCTGATGGGGCGGGGCGGGCAGGAACGGCCCTTGTGGAGGTTGAGGTTGTGGGTAAGCCCCGAGTGGTGGTGTAACTGCAACAACTCGTCATGTCAACGCGGGTAGAGCTACCGGTAGCACAACCAACCAGCACCGACAGACGTCAACATCTTTGATGAATGGATACCAAAACTACTAGACTTTTGACATCACTTTGAATTTATTATTAGTTTATACTGATATTTAAGTCTTGAAGTCTAATAGTTTTTATTTGGGCTGTAGCAACACTGATTAAAATTGCAGATTGGATTGTTACATAGTGTTGCCAATTATTAAGTGCTATAGAATGACTAAATAATAAAAAACTTGCTTATCTTATTGACTGTTTTACTTGGTTTTTATTGTATAATTAACGAACTTATTTTTTTTTATAAGAAAATATTTAATTATATATTTATTATTATTTAGTCTGTTCTCATCCATCAAAGACATAAGATAAAATGAAATAAAAACTTTTACAGTCATATATGATTTATCATGTCGGTGCAAAGTCAATTGAGCCAAAATGGCGCTTTCGCGCACCGCAACCCAAGCCCGAGCATTCACGCGTGACGTAGTGTGGCTACGCTATTATTAAAGTTGCCAGTTAAAAAATTGAAGAAAAAAATTTGTTTTTATTTTCAAAATAAATATTTTTGTTTAATGGCAACAATATATAGCGTTGCCTAAGCATAGACAATACATATCCTCAAACACTAATTGGTATCATCTATACACACTAACGCCAGTGTTAACGACAAGCGATGCCCATACAACGCGTTACATCACCACCAACAGTTTTCCCAAAAATAAGAATTTTGGGAAAACATAACAAGTGGCCGACGTTTGCTTCAATTAAATTTTTTAACTGAACCAAAGTCTATTTGGTAGGTTAAACACGATTCAACACGGTGTGCGAGTGCTGAAATACCTACCAAATGTTATTTACATTGCATTCCTTATGCGTTGGTCACACTGGCTATTATAATAGGATAATACACTTGAATATATTTTAAAGCTGTGTGCAATTAGCAAGTGTGACCACGACTGAAAAACATCTTAAGTAACAAATCAGTCTTCACACGATAATGAACCTTATAAGAAAAGACATTAGTTTTATATTTATAACATAGCTAGTGATCTTAGCGTTCCTGATATAGACAATGGAAAATTGTACATTGTTTCAGAAGAGGCCACTTAATGACAAAACCACGACTCGTCTGAGACGCGATGTTGGCACTCTGAATTTGTAAAGGATCGTGTCTATATATGGACACTAAGATATTATCCGTATTCAAGCTCAAAATCTGATAACTGCTTGATTTTATTTACGTAACCGTAATAAATTAAAGTTAGTGTTATATAGTTTATCATAAAACGGAGCTTGCATACGAAGAAGAAAGTTAGCGCAACGTCGACGATGAATTAATTAAAAAAAATATCTGAGGTTTTTATATAACAAGTCAAAATATCAAGACATTCGTTGCGCGAACTTCATATAAAATTACGAAACATGGCCACCAAAATAATGGCACCCATAAAAACATGAACGTCGTGAACATTCTCGAAAAAAAAAACATTATATCTATTCAAATTAACTAACTAAAACACTTCGTGTACCAAGATTTTATGTATCTGGAATTAGCATACATTTACAATGTTACATCTTCATAATATATTTTGCTGTTTCGTCTAAAAAGCTTATGCAAAAAAGCGATTTTTATAAAAAAAAACAACGATGTCTATGATGAGTGCGTTGAAGGACATAGAAACATGCACAATGACGAACACAAGTTGCCTAATATCTAAATAAAACATTCCACGATGGTACCCATGCATGTAAAACTAAACATTGTTAAAAATACGCGCAAAAAACCAAAACTTGCAAAACAAATATTGTTACTGGCCGAATAGTCTAAGTTGCTTGAAAACAGCAAAATCTCATTAGAAATTGCACCACAAAAAATCCTGGTTACCATATCCAAAAAATACATTTATTTCGATTTATACTTATTTCGCTACAACATGTGTTATCAACTAATTACCCTCCATCCGACGATACATAAAAAAAAACACATAAAAAATTACGTTAAACATCAGATCTGCTGTTACATTATCGAATAATAATAATATAACATCAAGTCCTTTGCTAAAAAGAGAGAAAAAATAATAATAAATGTCATTAAAAAAAATCTGGATCCCTGTGAATAGCCTCAAAGTGAAATAATGTATAAAGAACCTATTTGTTAAGATTATTTTGAATTTATAATATACTTAGATAAGAATAATACACGCATACTTCCCTGTCCTTCAATAAAGCTTATATTCATGCACCTGCCTCGGAAAAAAACCGAAGGCAATGCAACGAAAGAAGACATTTTTTTTTATTCAAAATTGATTTTTATCTTCAATCGTTTACTTACTCTAATCACACACGTACTAACAAGTGTCATTCATGTTAACATTTTTTTTTCTTTTAATTATTTCTACCTTTTAATCGTATTTAAAGTGACGAAAATTTTTTAGAAACACTTCAAAATATAGAAAAAAAAAATACGAAAAAAATTATGTAAAGTGTATTAAAAAGGTAGATTCTAAAAGTTTTGAATTGTAGATGATTTGTTGAAGAAATTTACAACTCAAAAACAGTTAACTTAACTTATTGTGTAAACATACAAGTTAAACTGTGACGCAAAAATCAAAATTTTCGAGTCACAACACCATCACCTTGTTTTTACACCCACAAAAGCAAAAAAATGAATTTAATATGTCGTTTTGTTTTTGTGGATGTATCATGTAAGGAAATCAAGTTTTTTAAAATATTTATTAGTGAAAAAATAATGTCAAAATATTAAATTGATTTCCTAAAAAATTGTTAGTGGAACACACATCTTAACAGCAGAAGTGACTTTCTTTTTTTTTTTAAAAAAAATGTCACCTCTTAATTGTAAATTGAAACCTTAAATATTAAGATTCCATTGTGTAAAATAAAAATGATGTGAAAAATCTTTATTTAAAAAAAAAACAAGTGTTTTTTTCGACACATCATTCATTTTACACCACGTAAATCTAAAATGTTAGCATTTAGAATTCTAAAAACCAAAAATTAAATGAGAAGGCGCCCGACAACAGCGACGTCAAAGGGAGCCTTGAAACAAGGAGGCAATTCTTAGATACAAAAAAAAATTATTTAAAACGCCTCGATGCTTTAAAGGTGCACAAACACTAGCAAAACAAAAATAATAATAGCAATCTAGACTTTCTCAATTAGAGTTAAATTTGAAAAATAAAAGTGCTGACTGCTATTATATTTGAGAATTAGTGTAAAAAAAATCAGGTAAAAAAATAAGCTAAAAAAAAACTAAATGTTCATAGAAAAAGTAAAAATAGGAGCCAAAAGACATTGATTTCGAATTAATTAAAGAAGTTCTGTTCCTTTTATGGCATATGAAAAAAGTAACAGAACTTTGTTACTTAAAACAAATTTTTTTACCATATTTATAGTGTTAACTAAGGTAGTGTCAGATGATTGTATTTTTTAATCTGTTGTTTCAAATAATACATTTCCAGAAAGACTGTGTTCCAAATCTATACAAATAATATGTTCAAGCCAAAAACATCTACTGTACAGCCAACCACTTAGCTTCATATCATATGCAGTCCCTCCAGAGATGTGAAAAAAAAAATTGAAGTCTTTGATTGATGGTGTAAAAAAATATAATCATCACACTTATAAAATTTTTAATGATTCAATTGCTATAATTTTTTTAATAAGATTAAGTATCTATAAAAAAATATTTTTGAAAGATTTTTTTCTGTACAGATAAATAAAATTGAAGTGTCTGTATGTAATGTCAGAATAAGAGCTTTTTCCTATAAAAAAATTGTCTGTCTCTGTTCTGGCTAATCTCAGAAACAGGATGGCAGGATATTTTCAGTGGCAGATAGCTGATGTTTGAAGGAGTAACATGGGCTACTTTTATTTTAGAAAAAAAAAACAGGGTTCCGTGCCGGAAAAATTAAAACCCATGAAGTTGTGAACAAATCGTACCTAGGGACGCACCCGAGTAAAGGGAGTATGAGTTACTAGTTATATATATTATTGCTAAAGTCCATTTAAATAAAAAAAGGGATTCTTTATCATATTTCACTTAAATAAACTGTATGCTAAAAAATAACATTTTTCACCAATATGAAACAATGGGGAACCATTTATGACATCTAGTTTTTTTGGTGCCATTTTAAGGTTTGGCTATTAAAAAAAATTATAGTTTAAATCAGATTAATTAAATACTATGTAAAGTTGAATAAATTTAAAAAAAGAATAAAAACATATTTCAATAAGTTACAATCTGAATATCAAAGAATTCATGAAGATGAATCTTATATTTTAAACAGGTTTTCTTTAGCGGGTGTGGCTGTAAATGTTTTATGCATTCTAAAAATAAACAGCTTAAGATCTCTTTTGTATGCAAAATTGGAGGTCAGGTCAGCTTGAGACTGACTATAAAACACATCACTATTAAATATTTTAATAGTGGTGTGTTTGTTTCGATAACCGTCTGCCGAGAGCATTTTTAACCATACAATTTACTTTGTTTTTTCTATATTTTTAAGTACTTCTTTGTTCAATTAATTGTAAGTTTTTTTTTATTTAGTGAAATTTTCATTATTGAAATTATATTTATTTTGAGCATTGTTATTAAGGTTTTAGACAAAATATAAAAAAAAGAACAAAAATTTCTTTTTAAAATTATTGATGTATATATGAATATTATTTATTTCATCACAAAATGATAGCATTATCATTGTTTACTTAAGATCCAATACAAAACTTGAATTATTGATATGTAAATTTGAATTAGATTGATTGGTAAGCACTTTAACACAATGTAAAATCATTAAAATTTCTAACAATGCATAGCAATTGAACCATTAAAGGGTTACATCATAATCAATACACATACGATCGTCCACACGCCGTTACGCACATATCATAAGTTTTTTACTATGTTTCAAAAAAAGAAAAAGAAAGAAAAATTCTATGTAGTCATTACATGGTAGCTAGGCGTAGGCCTCGCGGGGACTGCGGTGTTGCTCCCGCGGCTCCTGTTGAGGGGGGCGAAGGGACAGGGGGGGAGTAACGCATCATTATAATCATGTATCGATATGTGCTTGGTTGAAAGGCTGGCCTTCGACTAAGCACCTTTTAACTCAAAATAAATATGCATGGTTTTTTTTAAATCCTAATTGGTATGTAATAAGCTTATACTTGACATATGTAACGCATCAAGGTTGTTAAAGTGTATTGTTTTAAAACATTTATTGCATTGTTAAATTGTAATTTTTTAGTGATTCAGCTTCAATAGCTAAATAAAGACAAATAAATATTATAAATGAGACATTATAATAAAATAATAATGGTGTAGGAATAGATTCATCTTTTAAACACAAATAGCTGTAATCATAAAAGAGGCTGAAAGGGTAATCTCCTACTTTATAATTATGATCCTTTGTGGTTAAAAAAAATAATATTAAAAAATAAAAAACACGATTGCATAAAAGCTAGTTAAAAAAAAAAACAAGTTGACGAAAGATTATAGTATTATGCAGTCAGAGACATATATGTTTCATCCTAGCCGCGAGATGTACATGTGGTATGTCTCCAACTGCATAATACTATATTCATTCATTAACTTGTTTTCATGTTTTTAGTTGGCTTTTATGCAGTTGGGTTTTCTATTTTTATATATATTATAGACATTAGAAGTTATATTTAGCAATTTTTTGTCCTAAATTACTTTTAAACATATAAGTTGCATATATTTTTATTTTTTAGGTATTTCTAAGTAGGAAAATTTGCAAGAATGGTTGTTAACTTTAAATAGTTACAATATATCCTAAACTATTATTTAAAATGAAAAATGATGAAAGAACACTAAAAATGATTTTTAAATACCTATTAAAGGATGCCCCACTTGACATAGTTTGTGGATTTTTTTTCATTTTATCAATATGGTGTCTGGTTGCCACTGTGGTGAATTTTGACTACTTTCATGTTTTTAGTTACATTCACGAGGTTATTATTAAGGATATGAATCGGTTGATATAAGAATTATCAAAATCGGCCTACGCGTTTGGTCTTTAGAAGAAACAAACATACATACATACACTTATATATATACATTACATTACTTTGCGTCGCGCAGTCGGGTAAAAAGGTTAATCTCTTACCTTTTAATTATATGAGATCCTTTATGGTTAAAAAATAATTCCTATATCCATAAATAAGAGAAAATAATTAGGAGACAATGAAAATAAATCAATATGGGTGTATAGTATATTGCAGTTAAATTAGAATAAAATATTGTTACAGTACCTAGATCGCAATGGCAAATCTGTCGACGAATTTGACTGTTTAGATTTAATAACATAATAGCTCAATTATATATCTAGGGCGTTACAGGACACCTGCGTCTCGCTAGCCGTTTGCAGTTATTGATTTTCGATTTTTATAAAAATAACTAGGTCAAATGGCTGTAACATTTTAATAATTTATTCATCATAAAATATGCACAGAACACGATAAATTAAATCCTTACAACATCCCGCCTTTGCACCAAGGACTGTCAACCATCTTGGATTTACGAATATTGATCGACAAAAGAAACTACCAGACAGTACCTCGGCTATATATAAATCTGATGATTATGCAGTTTTTTGCAAAATCGTTGTTTTAATGTATTCAATTATCGTTAAATACAGCAAAAACTGCAATTCAAGGTAAAATGACGTTACATATGTCAATCTTTCTATGTTATAAAAAGACAAAGAAAATAATAATTAAAGCGCATAAATACCTTTCTTGTCTGCCATTATAATAACTATAAGGAATTTATTACAATTATTTAAACACTACGATTATATATGTCGTTGCTAAATTGTGAATTTCGCGATTAATTTTAAGAACGCAGTCGCAGATCAAACGCTTCTTCGATTCTCGCAACGACACTAGTGATGTAAAGTCTGCGACTCTGCGCGGCGCGCGCTTATAGTTACGAGTTACGACTTACAACGCGACGTTTGTTGATTACCGGTTTTCGAATAACCGGTAAATATAAAATAAAAATTGTTAGTTAGCTGCAGCTGATTTAAAATTGATTAAATACTAGAAATACGTCTGTATTTGTATTTTCTTGTAATTGATTGCAACTGCTTTATATGAATCGTTTTCTATGGACACCTTATATGTATAGTTTTTTGCATTATCCGACAAAAAAGAAACCACATAGCAAAGAGTAATCAAAAAATAATTATTATACCAAACCATTTTAATTTAAAACATTTTAATGTCATTCATGGTTGTTTATAAGTAACAACAAATAAACTACATATTTATAAAAATATACAAAATTATAATCTTTATAACTTGACTATGTTCTAACAATCTTCAAAACGATACTCCTAATAGTTTTAAAGTTATGATAAACACATATTATTGTTTATTATTTTTAATCATATGTTGATTATCAGTAACTAGCGGCTCACCCTCGCTTCGCTCGGGTTCGCCTCTAGGAAAATAAAAACAAATCTATCCCTCGAGAACCGTATATTTTTCCGGGATAAAAAGTAGCCTATGTGTATTCCAGACTGTAATCTATCTCTGCGCCAAATTTCATCCAGATCCGTTCAGCCGTTCTGGCGTGAATGAGTAACAATAACAAACATCCATACTCACAAATTTTCACATTTATAATATTTATACAGATGTATCGAAATGTTAGTGCAACATTCTGGCAATATAAACATGGCTTAACATGAACCGCACCACTCGCACTCCGTCCTTTCCCAGTTATCTTGTTACGGGAAAATAAAAGACTTGCTTGTGTTACATTTGGCATCTTCTCGGTAATGATTTCAGCATTAAATTATAATTTTTCATGCTTCCGTTGCTTTTTCGAACTAAACTTTCTACTGAGCGGTAAAGTGCACGTTTTGAGTAATGGGGATTTACATACTTAACACCGAGTTTGACTCTGGTTCAAGATTGAATACAATATTCTCAATTATTCGTCCTTTCCCAGTAATTTTGTTACAGGCTAAAAATTTTTGCACAATGCTTATGCCTCTTCTTCCCCAACATCTAGCACACCATTTAAAATCGTAATGTTATAGAATTAGTTTATGAATTATGGCAAATAATAATAGAGTGTAGCGACGTGAATTAGGATAGATAGGATTTTTATAAACTTCGTCGATTTGTATTTGCATTATTATTTTCATATAAAGGTGAGTTGTACTTCGAATTTAATATGCCAACAAGTAATCAACTGGCATTAACATCGTTATATAATTGTAAAAAAAAACTCCTGATCCAAAAAACTAATATTTAGTATAATTTTTTTTAATCATTATACCGATACGGATATTTTAAACGCTCGCCATTTCGCGCGCTTGGCCTGACGTCACAGTATGATATATTACAGAAAAATGACGAGAGAAAATCGCTAATCGCTCTGTTAAGATAAATACTTTCATGTCATATTCGGTCTATGTATATGTAAGCTATATTCATAGTCGATTTGACAACGTTTGGCTCAGTTTGTAGTGACCACTTACTGTGCCAGCGGTCTCGGGTTCGAGTTCCGCAGGGGGTATCCATTTGTGTGATAAGCACAAACGTTTGTACTACAGTCATGGGTGATATATTTATAACTAGCGACTAACCGTCGCTTCGCTCGGGTTCGTCCGGAGGTTACTTCCCCATACAAACTTTCATCCCCATTTTCACTCCCTTAAGGGATGATTTCTGAGATAAAAACTATCCTATGTCCTTCCCAGGGTCTCAAACTATCTTCTTAACAAATTTCATTTAAATCGGTTCAATAGTTTCGGAGCCTAGTCTGTACAAGCAAACAAAAAATCAAATCTTTCTCCTTTTAGTATAGATATGTATGTATTTAAAGTTATATACGAGTATGTATGTGTAGTGTATCAACTATCTGGTATCCATAACACAAACCTCGTAGCTTACCATGGAACTAGATGGTGCTGTGTGTTAATGTCCCAACATATTCAAGATTCAAGCACTGCGAAAGAAGTTACGAAAGAGTAACGTAATGGACATAATATTAAAGTAATATCTCACTTGATGTGTAGTTTAGATGTTTGGATGGCTGTTTGTTACTCAATAACGCCAGAACGGCTTAACGGATATGGATAAAATTTGACACAGAGATAGATTATGGTCTGGAACATCACATAGGCTTCTTTTTATCATAAAATGTACGATTCCCGTGGGATAAATTTGTTTTTATTTTTCAACATATAAAATTTTACTACGACTCTTGCTACGTGTATGTATATATACATGTATATGTCTCCGACATGCACAATACATACTGTTTCTTCGTCAAATTGTTCTCATCTTTTTAATTCGTTGTTTACGCGAAAGGGTTTTTTTATTTTTGTAATCTTTTTTTTATACAGCACGGAATAAGGATTGAATAAAAAATATTAAATCAAATCATAATAACAATTTTTTTATTATTTATTTACAGCAATATAGCACATATTGTAAACCTTAATTAACATTATAAAGAATTAAGCTGATCATACATTAGAAACTAGCGTCCATTTTCCACCACACCTGAAACAAACAAATAAATATATTCATGGTAACACTAGCCACTCACTCTCGCTGCAGTCGGGTTCGTCCCTATGTATGGAATAAATATACTATAATATTATATGATATATAGCCTATATCTTTCGACTATCTGATGCAAAATGAATTTTTCAAATCAGATCAGTAGTTCCTGAGATTAGCGCGTTCAAACAAACAAACTCTGCCTCCTAATATTATATATTGATTTAGATGAAGCGAATAGAAAGATTAGTACATATGTTACATGTAAAAATCCATATATTTGTAAATCTTAGTTTTACCTAGAAAATCTTAGGGTTTACCTGATAGCCTTCTCGTCAGGTTTCTTTTTAATTTCAATCCCAGAACCCCCAATATCATAAGTGCTTTACCAAGTGTCGTTGGTAAAACCTAACCCTGTACCAAATTCTGATGGTAAAAAACCCAAATATTTATTGTTTACTATTTACAAAATCCCTACATTTACCAACTCATGTTGGTAAATACTAAGATTTACTCGTTAAACATAAGATTTATTAATTATTTAAAACGAGCCAGCTCTCTTGTCACCAGTAGAGGCGATAAGACGATGAGTTAAATAATATTAGTGTTGAAATAATACTAGTCCCGCTGAGTTTCTTTTGCCAGTTCTTCTCAGGTTTGAAGCTTCTTCTTTCCGAACTGGTAATAGACTCATGACGTTCAGTGAAAAATTATAATATTTTATGCTGAATAAAATATTTGAATTTGTTATGTCTTTTTAGAAGTGTTTTGCAATTTGATAGTAATTTAATTAAAATTCATGTTACCTGCAAGCGGCAACGAATCTGCCGTCATACGCTCGCTGCAGCGGGTGGCGCGAAGGCCTAGCCGCGGGCAGAGCGCGAGCACCACAGCGCCCGCACTGCCTCCAACGCGCCGCACGCCGTCCCCCACCCAAGTACATGTATCTGTTTGACAACCCATCAATATTAATAACAAGCGACTCACACTCGCTTCGCTCGGGTTGTTCCCTAGGTACGTTTTAATTTTTTTGAGCGGAACCTTAATTCTTTTTTTAAATAAAAGATGCTTATAACACCAGTTATCTGCCAGTGAAATCCCGTCAAAATAAGTCCAGCCGTTACAGAGATTATCCGAAACAAACAGACAGACAGACAAAAATTTTAAAAATTGTGTTTTTCTTATAAGTACCGTATATAGTTTCATATGCATTTAGTAAAACGCTGTTAATTTGACATTACTAACAGACACTTCGATTTTATTTATCTGTATAGCGACAGCCAATCTCAATGAGACTAGCCAGCGCAGATATTATATATGTTGTAAAAATTTACGTTTGTATGTATTTTTAATGCTGAATCATAATAAAATAGAATAAAAAAAATTGCCCACAAAAAATTTTTTTTTTCAAGTGGATTGCCCATAACACTTAGGGGTGTGAAAAATAGTTTCCGTCCTATTATCAGATCTACTGAATATACCTACAAAATTTTATAAGAATCGGTCAAGCCGTTTCGGAGGAGTTTAGTTAAAAACACTGTAACATGAGTATTTTATACAATAGATAGTGCAGACACAAGTGCACTCTCTATTCCTGTCACTCTCACCCTGCAGTGGAACAACTCGAAACACTCGCAGCGACACTGGTCTATTGCACGAAGTTACCACACCGCCAATTTCCCTATTCCGGACTGTTACTAAGGATATCATAATAAAAATAGTAACAAATACTAGAATACATAGCATAAACATCGAGCAACGTATATCGTACATGTAAAAGCCGAATGTTTTACAACATACACTCCTCAACACTCATGCTCGCCTGGTACTTGTGATGACGTCACACTACTGCCTGCCCTCGGCTCATGACATCTGATGACAATATGGTCACGAGCGACGAGTCTCCGTCGGGAGCACGAAACAACTCAAGGGTGTCCATTGTATATGTAGATTCACGTCATACGTGCGCATACGAACTCCTCAACACTCATGCTCGCCTGGTACTTGTGATGACGTCACACGCAGTGCTCTTACTTAGTATACAAACAATAAAGTGTCGTGACGGTGGAAACATTCCACTCGTTACCGTCTGCGTAGTTACGTTTTATCGGTTAGTATAGAATAGATAGATATAATATCACAGCCTTCCTCAATAAACGGGCTATCTAATGCAAAAATAATTTTTCAAATCCGATTACTAGTTTCTGAGAATAGCGTGTTCAAACAAACAAACAAACTCTGCCTCTTTATAATATTTAGTATAGATCAGTGGTATTTAAGCTCAATTGTCATGTTTTATCAAGCGTATACGTTTAAGTTTTCTTTGTTTATCACATATTAACTTGTCCGTTTCATACCTTATAAGTGAAATAGTAGGGAAAAACTAGCATTGCATAAATATTCTAATAATAAACTTTATGTATATGTACATATAATAAAATTGTAACTAAGTCGAATCTGTACATTAAATATTTTTTGGAAAATCTTATTGAAATAAACATTATTATATTTATTATTATACAGAGGCCCAATCTACAGTTTTTAGAATTTTTGTCTGTCTGTCTGTCTGTTACCGCACCACAGTAAAATCACTGGATAGATTTTGATAAAATTTGGTATGATGATAGCTGGTTATCCGGGTCAACATATAGGATATTTTTTACCGCGGTAAAATATCTCATTTCTGAGAAAAAATACAAAAACTGGTTAGAATAAAACCACGATGCGATATTTTAGCAAGGTAACTTAGTAAATAAAGCAAAATCTATTAAAAATAGCTCATCTTGAAAAAAAAAATAACAATAGCGCTATATTTGGTTGATTTAATATTTGGTGTTTGGTCATCTGAACGCGAGCGGAGCCGCGGGCAATGCTAGTACAATAATAAGGAAATCGAACATACATAGAACATATTAACAACAGTAATTTTACAGTAAAGGCTTGTACAATTTATCAATTAATTTACCTTATGGAGTCCATGTCTAACGACGGCGTTATGTCAGACTGTGCATACGCCGGGGGCTCGGGGACGTACCGCAATGACTCAGGTTCAACGCCATATTCAAACTGCAAAAAAAAAAACAATTTGTACTTGTTAAATGTTTAATTTACTCGATTAACTGTGTACATGATTAGTCGTATAATATATTGTCTATGGTATTGCCTGTGGTATAGTCTCTGTAGTCTGTGGTTCTGTAATGCATGGTGAAAATGGAGATAAAAGTTTGTATCGGGAAGCAAGTTAGTGACGAACCGAGCGAAGCGAAGGTGAGTCGCTAGTCTTATAGCTATATATAAATAAAAATGAATGTTCGTATGTTTGTCCTCAACAAATTCCTAAGCCCTTGATCCGATTGTGATGAAGCTCCGGTGGGTAATTCTATATACGCCTGCGAAGGTTCCTGGCGCAAAAAGAATTTTTGTTTGGACGTTTGTCTTTTATAGGTTCCTAAAGCGTCCAAACTTAGGGACGCACCCGAGCGAAGCGGGGGTGAGTCGCTAGTATTAAATATTACACTGTGTATTGCTCCGTGGTCGTACAGATAGTTTCTTTCGGCAGTTCTTTTTAGGACTGACACACAGTCCTTTGTCCAGTTGGAATAGAAATTTAAAAATATAGTAAAAATCCTAGGTTCGAATCCCGGGTCTCGCACCTCTGATATTCTAATGTGCGAATAATATCCAAAGCGATTACCAGTTGTCTTACAGTGAAGGAAAGCGTGAAGAAACCTATCCTACCTGCTCAGTCCGCCTGCACTTGGCCAGCGTGGTGGACTATGGCCTAATCTACCCTCATGTTGGGATGTCCACGCCCAGCAGTGGGACGTTATAAAGGTGTATATACTCACATACAAAGGCCATGGCCGGCCATGAGGCGCCGCCACACAACACCGCGGCAAAGAGTCCCACACACGCGCAGTCGCCATCGCGCAAAGTGATGCACACTCCTCTGTGGTTGACGATATAAACTTTATTGGAACATTTAAACTTTATTCAAGTTATACTTCTTTTGCCACGTTTGGAAAAAGATATGAGAGTAAAATTATTCACGATACGCGCGCACACCGACAGCCTAAATGCGACATAATGAAGTTAGCTGCATTCCTTTTACAAACAGAGAGTTGTGACATACGGGACGAAATATTTACCTATTTTTATTCTGTTAAGTAAAAGAAGTATAACTTTTTACGTGCATACATAAGCACACACTCGCGTTTTTTTTTAATATATTAAAAATTTAAAGATAAAATTAAAATTTTATTGAGCAAAGCGTATTTATTACACTGTCCAAGAGTTTCTTGTTGATGGAAATGTGTGGAATTGAGAATATTGACTCGTATGTAGGCTATCTATTTTATTTTTTACTCTAATCTACTCGAAATATAGTTTTTAGAGTTTATGTCTGTCTGGGAACGCATCACAAGAAAACCACTGGACAGATTTTAATGAAATTTGGTATGACGAAAACTGGGTATCCGGATCAACATAATATAGGATAATTTTTACTGCGGGAAAATATCACATCACTGAGAAAGTTATACTAAACTTATTCTTTTTTTAGAATAAAATTTCTTAATAAGTACTTTCTTAAAATTACACAAACTTTTAAGTACTTTATTTAACCAATATTTGCAAATTCTTATTCCAAATTTTAATTAAATTAAATCTCACCCAATAAATCCGGTTTGTGTGGCGAAGTAGCGAGCCTCGCTAACGGTCGGCTCAGGGTTTCGCCCCCGCGACCGCACGCTCTCGACACGACCACCAGCTTCCTTAATACCGTCACTGCTGCGGGGTCCGACCAGAGTTCGTATCTGAAGAATATTTTATAGATTAAAAGTTTGGCTCAATTTGTAGTGACCCTACTCACCGTGCCAGCGGTCGCGGGTTCAAGTCCCGCTGAGGGCATTCATTCCCTACATTTATTTATTTATATAAAACTTATTTTATTTTTTTATGCTACAGAACCTTTGTCAAGTCACACTCGCACTCTTCACCGACTTTATTCTATATAATAATAGTTCTATGTATAAAAAAGGCAGTAGTAGCCCAGTGGTGATTCAAATTCAAATCATTTCCAACACGATCAACACTAATTGTCTTACGGTGAAGGAAAACATCGTGAGGAAACCTGCATGTCTGAGAGACGAAGCCAGAAGAGCAAGTTGTTTGCAAACATGCTCAGTCCGCTCTCACTTGGCCAGCGTGGTGGACTATGGTTGGATCCTACTCGTACTGAAAGCCCACCCCCAGCAGTGGGATGTTGCAAAGGGTTGAATACAGTTCTATATATACAACAAGACAACTGCTCACCCGTGGTGCTGGCCCTGGTGGGCGGTAGGCTGTAGCGCTGCCAGCGCTGTAAGCGCTGTGTGCAGCGCTCGCTGCAGCGGCCGGCGCAGCGCTTGTAGAGGCTGCAGCGCTGCGTGCGTCTCGGTCGATGTATCCAGCTTCGCCTCCAGCGACAGAAGGTTCTGGAAGGTTTTGAATTTTTAAATTTAGAACAAGTTATATCGATTTTTGATTCCCTACATTTTGATTGTTTTACAACAATCATGGTCATTTTATATCTTTACAGCTATCATGTCAAGAACCAAAAAGCAAAATAAATCGGCGAAACAATCCGAAAAGATAGTTTTATTAGAAATCTCAAAAATACACGTAAAAAAAAGAATTAACTAAGTTAGTTTTAAATTAAGAATTAGCTTAAAATTATATTTGTTTTGTGTATTCGTGAGTGTGCAGCTGTGTGTGTATATCTGTGATGGTCATCGACGAACGGTTATAACGTACAATGTATATAGTCACTATCACTTGTGTCTCTCTCTCTCTCCGTGTGTGTGTGTGTGTATATGTGCGTGTGTTTGTGCGTGTGTGTATACCTTATCGCTATCTACGTGGTCCTCTACGAGCGAGTGCAGCGCGGCGAGCGCGTCGGGCTTGTCGTCGCGCAGTGCGCACGCGCAGGCCGCCCACGCCGCGCCGCACAGCTGCAGCGCCGCCAGCGCCGCGCTACTGCATTGCCATGACGCTGATAGACTGTGGGACGATTGTGCACTTATATTTTATTTATTTATCTATATTAATATTATAAAGAGGAAGGATTTGTTTGTTTGTTTGTACTGAATATGCTCCCAAACTACTGAACCGATTTAGATGAAATTTGTTAAGAAAATAGTTTGAGACCCTACGGAAGACATACGATAGTTTTCATCGCGGAAATTATACCTTAAGGGGGTGAAAATGGAGATGAAAGTTCGTATGGAGAAACAACCCAGGGACGAACCCGAACGAAGTGAGGGTATGCCGCTAGACTATACTTATAATAAAATTCAAACTAAGTCGAATCTGTACATTAAATATTTTTTGGAAAATCTAATTGAAATAGACATTATCGATACAGAGTCCAAATCTATAGTTTTTAAAAAAATTGTCTATCTGTCTGTCTGTCTGTTACCGCATTACGAGAAAACTACTGGACAGATTTTGATGAAATTTGGTATGATGATAGCTGGTTATCCAGGTCAACATATAGAATACTTTTTACCGCGGGAAAATACCTCATTTTTGAGAAAAAATACAAAAACTGCATTGTAAGAGTATACTAATATGTAAAACCTAAGAATTTGGTTTTGGTCATATGAACGCGGGCGGAGCCGCGGGCAATGCTAGTATATTATAAAGGCTTACTAACTAAATTTACATAAAACATGAATTTAACATAATAATATTTCGCTATATTTATATAAATTTAATTTAAAAGTATGCATAGCTTTTTCTAGAAGTATTTCATTTAAATTTTATGTGGTTACGAGTATATATGGAGTCATTTAAGTTGTTCAACAAAAAAAAAGGAAAAAAAAATCTAATCTAAATATAAACAGTTTCTTTATAAATAAATTTAGGCTATCAGAAAGACTGTCTATATGACATTGCTGAAATATAAAATTATATAATTTAAAGCTTCGTAAGAGTGGTGAACTGGAACCGTATCTATTTATTCGTTGTGGGATATATAGTGGTTTGTAATTAGTATAGGTTTCAAATTCCAGGTCTGCTATTGTCATATTATGTCATTTTTCTATACTTTTGTATGCAATAATTTTTAACTTCCCATTGCTGGGCGTTGGCTTCCCTTTAATATGAGGGTCATAATCCACCACGCTGGCCGAGTGCTGGTTGGCGGACTTCACTCGGCGGACACATTTTGATTTTTTTTCTTTTTTTTCCGATACCTCTAGCCGCTAGCGTATAGTATATGTACCTTTAAACTCATCACAATTTTTCCTGTACAGTTAAATTGTGCAAATAAGTTGAAGCGTGTATTATAAACACTTGTACATTTTTTTTCAACTGTTTGTTTTGGGCTACCTGTTTAAATGATTTAAATATCTAAACATGAACAAAAACCCGACGTGATTTTTTAAATATATAAGTACAATTTTTACCTGCACAATGCAATCCTTAGTTTCAACCAACTATGGTAATAATACTGTTGAAATGATTGCGGCTGCCTTTGAAAGTTCTCCGTCAATCTGAAATTAAAAAAAAATACCTTTATTGTTGTGGGCTCAATCGAATACGTTTAGCCATTTTGAATAATCACCAATCACTTTTTATGATATTGTGAAATCTATACATTACGTAATAAAAGCTAATTTACAAAAGCAAGCGATCTAAATAGACAGAGACAAGGTTACGTATATATAAAGGTATGATGATGATGTTGTTCTCCCGACCGATTCCGGCCACGGCGGCCAATCTCATTGAGACTAGCCAACTGCGCAGGAGATATTATAGTGCAGCGCGTGTGAGGGAGAGCGCAGACAACGTGCACTCTCTGTCCCTGTCGCTCTCATACTCCGGTGGGACGACCACTCGACACGACCGGTGAGAGTTAAGGCGCAGGACCGACGGCTTTACGTGCTCTGCCTCGGCACGGGCGTGACACACCGCCAGCTTCCCAACTCCGGGCTGTTACTGACGCTTACTATACAGAAAGACTCAGTAACTAAACTTGGCCCGACCCGGGACTCGAACCCAGGACCTCCGAGTGTGCAGCTGTACATGCTAGCCACTACACCACCGAGGCAGTTGAGGCAGTTGATAAAGGTATATAAAGGTACGTAACAAACGTAAGAACGCAGTAGTCTAATGTGTCTTTATTTAAAATAGAAAAGTGTGGAGATGCATTTGTCATAAAGTTTTCTCAGTGCTTATTTGTCCAAACGACCAATTTACCGAAAGAGTTTTTATTACAGATTAATATTATAATACTAGCATTGTCCGCGGCTCCGCCCGCGCTCAGATGACCAAAAACCAAATTCTTAGATTTTATATTAGTATACTCTTACATTGCAGTTTTTGTATTTTTTCTCAGAAATGAGACATTTTCCCGCGGTAAAAAGTATCCTATATGTTGACCCGAATAACCAGCTATCACCATACCAAATTTCATCAAAACCCCTTTAGTGGTTTTTCCGTGATGCGGTAACAGACAGACAGACAGACAAAAATTCTAAAAACTATAGATTCGGATTCTGTATCCATAATAATGTCTATTTCAATAAGATTTTCCAATAAATATTTAATGTACAGATTCGGCTTAGTTACAATTTTATTATATGTATAGATAATATTTTATATTGACTTTTAAATGCCACTCTTATTGATATAAAATACACGTTTTAAGTCCCGTGGTGTAATTATTATATAACTATGGAACGCGAAAATTTAAAAAGTTACAAACAAGCACTAAGGCTTATTAGTAAAAAAATATATAAATATTTGCCTTTCATATACCGCTTCAATAATATTGGTCTTTAATGTCATAAGAACATCTAAACAATCGTAGCCGGACACCATGGAATATTCCAGAAGCGACGTAACATGTTGCACTGACAGTGGGGTTGCTGTGAAACAAAATATTGTTTTTTTAAATAATTTCATTTAAAACCTTTCAAAAATTATGTGTATGTATGTATGTACGTATATATGTATGAGTGTGTGTTCACACATGGAAATATCAGAGGTGCGAGACCCAGGATTTGAACTCCCTTCACTCGGTTTTCCAAGCGAGCGGGTTACTTACTAAGCACACATACACATACCATATATGTATGTATGTATGTATGTATGTATGTATGTATGTATGTATGTATGTATGTATGTATGTATGTATGTATGTATGTATGTATGTATGTATGAGGGTGGAGCGTTTTTTTTAGCTTGGGGTAGAATTTTTGGTGGTAAAAAAAAAAAACAAATTTTAGAAAGAAAAATACACAAATTTATGAGGTGGCCCACTAATTATTAAAATAAATAATTAATTTAATTATATTTAAATTTAAAAAAAATCTTGAAATTGTTTTAGAAACTGTAGTTTCTCCTTTAAAATCAATTAAAAGTTATAAACGAAAAAAAAACTGAACATTACGGCAAAAAATAACTATTTTTGTATAACAGTGAAAGTTGCGTACAAGATGACCATAATGGTCAATTATTGAATGTATTCAAAGGTGATCTTCTGACTCGAAAAAGAAATTTTTCATTCATCATTTCAGAAAAATCAATGGGCTACCTCAAAAGGTTGAGTAAAAAAATTTTTATAAGCTACAAATTCTACCCTCAAGCTAAGAAAAAAAATTTTTCTTCCCACCCTAGTATGTACGCACGTGTGTATGTATGCACATATGTATGTATGTATGTATGTGTATGAGTTTGTGTGTGTGTGTATCACTCACGCATGTCGGGCGCGGGCGGCGGCATGTGCAACTTGCACACGTGCAGCTGCGCACGCGCATCCAACGCGACGGCCACGCCGCCCAACGTTGACACCGACACGCAGCACACCGGCGCCGGCGACTGACACGCGTTGCTCTGTTGGAAATGACGTTTGTTGATGTGAAACAATTCATTAGCCCCGTTGTAATTTGAATTTTTGATACTCGATGAGACAAACACATATAATGTACATCCATAGGATTTAACTATGTTTGTATGGGAATGAGATAAAATATAACCATACCAAAAAGCGTGAGGGACTTCGTACCGACCGAGGGTCGATAGACCCCTCATTTTAATTTTTTAATATTTATTAATGCTCTAAATAAGCGAATGACCAACTGCCTCGGTGGTGTAGTGGCTAGCATGTACGGCTGCACACCCGGAGGTCTTGGGTTCGAGTCCCGGGTCGGGCCAAGTTTAGTTATTGAGTCTTTCTGTATGGTAAGACTCAGTAACAACCCGGAGTTGGGAAGTTGGCGGTGTTTCACGCCCGTGCCGAGGCAGAGCACGTAAAGCCGTCAGTCCTGCGCCTTAACTATCACCGGTCGTGTCGAGTGGTCGTCCCGCCGGAGTATGAGAGTGACAGGGACAAAGAGTGCACGTAGTGTCTGCGCTCTCCTTCACACGCGCTGCACTATAGTATCTCCTGCGCAGTTGGCTAGTCTCAATGAGATTGGCCGCCGTGGCCGGAATCAGTCGGGTGAACATCACATCAAATAAGCGAATAAAATATAAAAAAAAACATGTAACAGAAAAATAATTAAAACTTACAGGAATAACTCCAGGTCCATATTTCGGCTTCTTGGGGGGAGTCCCCGCGCCCGCCGTAACTTCTGGCGTGATCGCACCACTCGTCACTATCGGCCTACACACGAGCTGTATGTAAATAATAATATTTTTTAACACAAAAAATCAACTATTAAACAATATTTTCGACGATCGACGACGATTTCGATTTCTAGTGACCCTATGATCAGTTTCTAGTGACTCTACTTGCTGTGCCAGCGGTCGCGGGTTTGAGTCCCCCTGGGGAATGTTTGTACTCCAGTCATTGGCGTTTATATTTATAATATGTGTGTATATAAAGTTATATATGTGTAGTGTATTAACTATCTGCTATCCATAACACAAGCCTCGTAGCTGTCCATGGAGCTGGATGGTGCTGTGTGTTAATGTACCAACGTATATATATATATATATATATATATATATATATGTATATATATACTACTTAAACTGTACGTACATAATGATGTGTGTCCCTTGCGAGCAGGTGTAGCGCACGCGGCGTGGCGAGAACCGCGTGGGCGCCGAACGATGACTTGGCCGAGGCCACGTGCGTGGCGGACTCGCCACCCTCGATCTGCCATACTGCTGTCTGTTGCCATGCCTACAGACAAACAAACATAGTTGGAACCATAGACATAGAGAAAGCTGAAAGAGAATGGACTCAGCAATATTTTCATGAAATTGACCGCCTCTCAGAACGAAACGAATGAGAGAGAAAAAGCGAACATGCGCCCAATAATTTGTCTTTTATTCCAATTTGAATTTATAAATGGAATGTAAAATAGTTATAAATATCTATCTATCTTCATTACAGAAGACAATACAGAAGACTTCTGGCCGCACATTCGTGTTGTCTCTGTAGCGCCTATCCGCCATGTTTAGCTGACGGCTGTCAAAGAAACACTCATGCCCGATTTCACCAATAACCCATAAGCTACCACCTACTAGCTTAAAATTCCCCAAAACTATCCCCAAAAAAAAATTTTCGTTTTACCATCGTCTTTAAGCCCATATTTTGAGCACCTAAATTTATAGGGCCTTTTAACATTTAGGTGACCCCTTGCTGTAGGTGAAACAGAAACTGTCCCCAAACAGCCCCCTAACTATGCTTAGGGTATCCCTTAAACTTAGGTGACGTTGATGAAATCGGCCATCAGTCTACTCTCTATGTCTTTGCTTAGAACGTAGTTCCTTATCGCACGTCACTCGTCACACTTGGCGAATGGGAGCGAGACAGAAAAAAATGGAATGTTTCGATTTACTACAATTATTATAATTATTTACTAAGAGCACCCCGTATGAAGTCATCACAAGTACCAGGCGAGCATGAGTGTTGAGTAGTTCGTATGCGCACGTATGACGGCGCCTTACATATACAATGAACATTCCTTGCGGTTCGTGCTCCCGACGGAGACTCGTAGTGCTCGTGACCATATTGTCATCAGATATCATGAGCCGAGGGCAGGCCGTAGTGTGACGTCATCACAAGTACCAGGCGTGCATGAGTGTTGAGGAGCAGTTCGCATGCACTCGTATGACTGCGCGGACGCTCATTGCGGCTCGTGCTCCCGACGGAGCTTCGTAGTATTCCTAGCTACCATTGTCACCAGATGCTATGAGCCGAGGGCAGGCAGTAGTGTGACGTCATCACAAGTACCAGGCGAGCATGAGTGTTGAGGAGTTCGCATGCACTTTTATGGCGGATTATATATGTAGATACACTCCATTCGACAAGACGTTGTATAGAAATCATCTTCTCTATAACTGGTTGTTGAGGCATTCAAATCTACATCACTTGTAGGACAAATTCTGTGTTCGGATTCAGAATTATATTCAGAACCATAATTATAAGGTTTAATATAAAACCTTTTTCTTATAAGAAACTTATCATTATTCTTAATCCTATACGTTCTACTATTTAGTATATCCTTCATCGATGGTGTAGTGGCTATCATGTACGGCTGCACATCCGGAGGTCCTGGGTATAGTAAGTCTCATTAATCGCCCGGAGTTGGGAAGTTGGCGGTGTTTCACCCCCGTGCCTCGGAGAGCACGTAAAGCCGTCGGTCCTGCGCCTTAACTCTCACTGGTCGTGTCGAGTGGTCGTCCCACCGGAGTATGAGAGTGACAGGAATAGAGAGTGCACTTGTGTCTGCGCGGACACTTGTTCACTATAACATCACCTGCGCAGTTGGCTAATCTCAATGAGATTGGCCGTCGTGGCCGGAATCGGCTAGGAGAGCATCATATCCTTCATACTGAGAATTCCTCGATGTGTATGCTGCCCTGGTACTAGTGAATTGTGTATGAGCTAATTAATGTGCGACCACCGATCAACATTTTTTGTTCTCGTTTTTTTAATTGTGAGTTTGTTTATTTATGGTGATTAGTTATTATTTATAAAAAAAATAAAAATTGTTGTAAATTTAAAAGTATATGATTAATTTTTATTTATTTATTTGTAAAAAGCACACTTACAACAAACATATGAAATATTTTCAATTTACTTAATGTAATAATTATATACCTTATATGCATGTCAATTATAAGTGTACAATAGAATTTCCATATTCTTGAACTAGAATTGCCCTCGGCTCCGCCCCCGTTCAGATGATCAAAAACCAAATTCTTAGATTTTACATATTAGTATACTCTTACATTGCAGTTTGTGTATTTTTTCTCAGAAATGAGATATTTTTCCGCGGTAAAATGTATCCTATATGTTGATCCGGATAACCACCATTACCAAATTTCAAATCCATCAAAATCCCTCCAGTGTTTTTCTGTGATGCGGTAATAGACAGACAGACAAAAATTCTAAAAAGTATAGATTCGGACTCTGTATCGATAATAATGTCTATTTCAATTAGATTTCCCAAAAAATATTTAATGTACAGATTCGGCTTAGTTACAATTTTATTATATGCATAGATTTTGAAAATAATTTTGATAATTAAACAAGGAGAACAAGTACGAAGAGGAACATACCATAGTATTAAAACAGTCCGTTACTTTCGGGCCGCCACCTGGAGTTGTACTACCTTGAACTGGACCTTAAAAAAAAATATTGTTTAAAAAAAAAAAGCACATTTTTTCATCGACTTATATAAGCTACTGATTTCCCTGGTTTCATCATTAGATCATTTAAATCCATATTAATATTATAAATGTGATGTTCGTGAGGATGGATGGATGCTTGTTACTCAATCACGCCAGAACGGCTTAACGGATCTGGATGAAACTTTGCACTGAGATAGATTATAGCCTGGAATAGCACATAAGTTATTTTTCATCCCGAAAAAATGTACTGTTCCCGTGGGATATTTGTTTTTGTCTAGGAGCGAACTTGAAGCGAGGGTGAGTTATAAGAAAATCTATGTAACCAAATATGACAAAGCCTTCATTCTTATAATATTCAATTACATGGTTAGTTACGACTGAAGCTAATTAAAAAAAAAATGTACTACCAACCTTTAGACAGCAACTTATGTACAGGATATGATCGTTCTGTAAGTTTCCACAGTGTGAGATTGTTGCCAGCGATTAACAAACAGTCTGTGTCGTCTCGAAGCCACCAGGATATCGACACTGCATAACATAAAAAAAAAAAACATTATAATCGTTGCAAATTCATATAGAAATTTTAGTCTTATTCAGATGGCTGACATTCATGTGTAAATTGGACTGTAATTATTAAAGTGAATGTCTGCATGTGTGTGCCTGTATATGTGTGCGTGTGTGTGTGTGTGTATGTTTGTGTGCAGTATACGTTTGTGTGCAGTATACAGATAAACTATAACCTGGAGTAACACATAGATAATGGATTGATATATAGGAACGTACGTAGGTTAGTTAAGGAGTATACACTCACATGGTGTGACGTCATCATCGACCAGATACACAGTGGGCAGGGGTTGCAGGGCGAGAGTGGCGGGCGCAGCCCTGGCAGCCCCACTGCGGGTGAGCGTGCCGCGGCAGCACCGCACCCCACGGCGGCCGGCTCGACGCCACGCTGCTGCTATTAGCAGGCCACCGTCTGTGATGGGTGAGGGTGAGATTATTGATAATAATAATAATAGAGAATGTGGAAAATAAAGACAGTTACAATAGTACCAATTGTTATATCCACCACAGGTGTTGTACCCAAGAATCTTCATCGATCTATTAAATTGCTTGGGCTTCCTCCATTTATTTACATACAACTACAAAAAGCAGCTATACTTAATACATGTCGTTTAGTGAGAATTTTTTTTAAATAATAATCCGTAATACGTCAGCACTCACTTGGTTTAGGCCCGTGATTGTTGATACTCCGATACTGAGTACTGAGGCTTATGAATATGAACAAATAATGATTTTAATTCCGAATTTTTTTTTACCGTTTATTTCTTAATACTATTTCACTAATCATAGTATGTTTCTAAACTCGGTTTGCCTTACGGCATAGGCCTCCTCAATGCCTTCCACTGTTTCCTATCCATTGCCACTCTTAGCTAAAGAGGGCGTAGGCCCTAGAGTAAATCTCAATTCATCCTACCATCTTCTCACCTTGCGACCTGGACTCCTAAGACCCATCTCTTGGATACCAGATTGTTACCTGCTTACTCCATTTTACGTGATTGCAACGGAGCAAAGGGGATTATGGATAATAGTAATTATTATTTTTATTTTATCCCGTAGGAGTGAGATAATTTCCTGCGGTAAAAAATTGCCTATGTAACCCTCCAATTATCTGCATACAAAAAATCACGCCAAACCGTCACTCTGTTTCGACGTGAAAGAAGAAGAAATAAACAAACAAACACACTTTCACATATATAATATTAAGTATTGATTACACAACATATAAAAGTTTCTGTATCCCAAAAAAGAAGATATTATAAAAAGAATGTACATAGTAATAGTTACAAGTAAATCTAATACTAATATACTCACTCTTATGGGCTATACTAGCAGCTGATACATAATCCCTCGTTGCTCGCAAACAGTCAGTTGAGACTAAAGCCCGTGTGCCTTCACCAGGTGTGATTGCACCCACCAGGCCCGTGCCGGAGACCACACAGGCGCCCGTACATGCTACTCCACTAAGGATAGACCATAAATACAGATAAAATTAAAATAAATACGTGTGTGTACTTATGTACGCATGTAAGAAGTTATTTATACTTTTTTGGCTTAACTGAACAAAATTAGCTAAAGATTGCATCCTATATGTCACAACTCTGTAAAAGGAATGATAAATTTGAATAAAAATAATTAAATAACGCATAATAGGCATATTACAATCATATTTTTATGGAATATCATTTAAGGAAAGAATACAATATTATATATCATTTTTTAATTCATATCATTCATTCGCTTTCAGCTAGCTTCATCATGTCGCTATTTGGCTGTCGATGTGCGCGCGCATCGTAAAAATTACTTACTCTCATAATTTATTCTAAATGTGCCCAGAAGAAGTATAATTTGAATAAGAATAATGACCTGAACAATTTCAGCCAGAGCGGTCAGTCACACCGAGACTAGCCAATAGGAAATATGCGTGCTTTTTTTTTAATTTGATACAATAGCTAACATAGTTATATTAGTATAATAAAATATCCAGCTCTAAAAGACTAAAATCGAGTATAATTTTTTTTTAAATATTATACCCATAATCAAACACATTTACATTTTCCCATAATCAAAAAGAAATTACATTAAAAATATTTAAATCAGATTATGCAGGAGATATTATAATATATACATATGTATTTGTAGACAAAAATGCACTCCTAATCTTTTTACTGTTAATGTCAGTTCAGGAATAGGACCAAAACCTTTATGTGCTATACAAGACATGACATCACTAAATTTTCGCATAGCAAAACCTATTTCATTAAAGTGGCAAAAAACAACTTTTCTTTCGCCTTATCCAAATCAACAATCAAAAAAATTGTGTACCAAGTTAGTAAAACAAAAAAGTTTCATATTATGTAAATTAAAAATAAACTATAAAGTAAAATAAGTTAAAGTAATCAAAAATTTATAAACATAAATAATATGTTGGTACATTAACACACATCACCATCTAGTTCCATGGTAAGCTATGAGGCTTGTGTTATGGATACCAGATAGTTGATACACTACACATATAACTTATAATAACTTTAAATATGTACATATTATAAAAATAAAAACCCATATGGAGTACAAACATTCATGCTCATCACATAAATGAATGCCCCCAGCGGGACTCGAACCCATAACAGCTGGCACAGCAAGACGTAGGGTCACCACAAACTTAACCAAATGTATTATCAAAACATACATATATAAAAAAAATCAATCTTACCCAAACCCTTTCAGAGTGGGTGAAGGCCTTAACTGCTGTATTCTTTCACATATGGGTACATCTGGTTTTTTCTCTAATGCCACTACTCGCCTTCCATTGTGGAAAAATGAAGCAGTTATTATATGTTCACCTGAAAATAATAAACTAAATATAGTTTTCTAATCATTATTTAAATACAAATTAAAATCTACACATTTAACCAACTAATTTACATTAACTTAACAACTTAATTTATATTAGAGTTACTAAAATATTGTTTTAGTTTCTCATTGGCTTATTTTTACAAAAATATATTATGTCTTACGTACTCAGGAATAAGTAATCAATAATCATTAATTCCAAATATTATGTCTAATAAATTACAAAAAAAATGATTTATTACCTGGAAAGTTTGCAGTATATAAGCAAGTCCATTCATTCAATAGAAAATCTTTTTGCCCAAATATTGATACATCTCCGACAGTAGTTGCCACTAATAACTGCTTGCCTTCTCCATCCCATTCTAATGCTGATACCTGAAAGAATAAGTTGATTAATTATAAAAGAGAAGTTTCTCACAATATTAAAATTGTATATTATATCATTGATGACATAAATATATTTAATTAATTTATAATTTCAAAAATAACTTACAGGGTGTATAGTGCTTGTAACTTTATGGCTATCCCATGGTGTATCTAAGTCACATACATACACATGCCCACCCCATGTGTCACCATCACAATCTGTGAGCTCCGTAAGTGAAGAGAAAGCAATAATATTACATGTCGATATAGTGCAAATAGGTCTCACTATTTCTGGATCAGTTGTGCTGAAAACATTAATTGACCGTATGTCAGTATAATAATATTGTGTGTAATGTCCAACACTATTTCAAATTAGAAAAAATGTTTTAAAGAAGAAACTATGGTATAATGTTATTTCATGATTTTTGTCATAACAATACTTAACAATGAATTTTAGATATATTTTGTACCAGCCAATATGGTAAAAAGGCCCAATTTACGCTTACCCATCAAAATGTGGCGGTTCACATTTTAAAGGTTTTCGTCTCACTGAATATATTAACTCCATACTTTATTTTGTTACCTTATATTATATTATTATTTATTTATTTATATTATTATTATATTATACTTTATTAGTATGTATTATACTATACAAATTATTTTTATTTTAATAAATAAACTGTTGGAAAAAGAAATGCGTCGAATTTTGTTGTTAGTTTAGTTGACATTGACTTGTCACTTGACAACTGCCAAGTGCCATTGAATTGGATAAATTAAAGTACCACAAACTATATAGAGATGACAGTACATTACGTTTAGTGATCTATTTCCTAATATTTAGCTAATACTAAGAATTTATAGCAAATATACTGCAGTTCACTACTACAAGTATAAGAGAAAATGTTTATAATTCTGGCATAATTACAATAAGATTACTGTAGATTAGGCTTACATAATATGTTATTGTACACCAAAAATATTGCTGTGCATTAATTTTATTTTTCCATATTTGTAAAAAAACTTTTAATATTTGAAATAAATTGCTACCACCCACATTAAATTACGAGTTATGAAAAAGCTATAAATATCATATTTATTATATCGCAAGTAATAACAAAACGTAAAAATATAAATTGTCTCTACTTAGACTTGTAACTATGTTCAGAGCAAACATTATACGCTGAGTTCACTTTAATTCCTAACGCGATTGTTCCGGACAATGACCTTTCATTATCGAGTCCGAGCGATCCGAACACAGTCTCAGGCTGACGAAAATGGCGGAGTGTACTGTTCATTCTGCTTTACTTCTCTTAAATTGCGCTTAAATCGTGCGATTTTTGAGTGAAAATGTAATTGTTATGAATTAAAACCTCTTGTTCAGTATTGTTACTGTGTGCTCAAATATGTGGCGAACAGAAATGTGTCGATTTGGTGTTGGGAACTGGATTTTCTTGCTGGCTTGCCTACATTTGTTTACGTATAGCCAAGGTAAGCTGCTTTCTTATAAATATTACCTTATAATATCGATCGGTGTATTTAAACCCCCACGTTTAAGGAAGTAATAAATTTCGCTTAAATGTCGTTATTTTCTAATCGCATTTGTAGTATATATTGTGTTTATTATTGACGAATTTGCATCAATTTAAATTGTTATTCTTCATTGGTGATCTTGTTTTTATCATGTGGAGGTGTTAGACGTTTATTTACATTTTTGTAGCGTTTTATAGTCGTATTTAATTAGAGAAACACATTAAAGTCTGAGTGATGTACGGGGGCCGATTGGTATATATTTATTGATGTTAGGGCTCCGTTGACGTCTCTACGCACCCTCTGAGATGTAACGACGCCGCAAGACATTAATGTCTTTTTATTGAGTGCTTTGAGATAATTAAAGCTATATTTCGTTAGAGGTTTATAAACAAATAAATTAAATGAGCTTCAACTGTTCTTATAAGACGTTTTCTATTTTTGATTCCTCATTTTACATCGTTAAATGCGTTGTTTATGTTTATATTCATTGGATAAATAGAAATTCTTTTACTGTAATTTATGTTTGCTTTTAAAGAAACATTATTTATTTATTTAATTAATTAATAAAATAATTTATATATGTATGTGAAATTCAATATGTATTGTAAACTAAGTAGGTATATTGCAGATCGTAAAGCATTGGACAAGATGCTTCTAACTGTACACTGGACGTAATAATCCTCGTGTGGACGACAACTGTGAGATCTAGAGCTTTAAAACGATAGTGATAATACATAAGTTTGTGTTAGGAAACCCTCTGGAATACAACACTATTTATTTTATCTACAATTTAGTGATGTAACGAATGTTCGAATTTTCACATTCGCGAATGCGTATGCGAATGCGAATATCCAGCTCCCAATGTTCGCGAATGCGAATGCGATGCGAATGTTAACTAAATTTTATTTACTATTTGTAATAATTTAGTTAAATAGTCATTATTTTGTTATTTTTTCATTCAATTTCAATCATTTTCATTCAAAATCGTGAGGCGTAAATGTGTAATGCCCCACAATTTTATTTTTGGGTCTGATTAATGCCCTAGATTGATGAGGAGAGTAGTGTGAACCTACCTAATTATTTTTTGTCTTTAGTTTAGTTTAAATTAAAATAAAACATTCTTACTTATTTTATTTTGAATTTTTTTTATTATATTTTAAACTGCCTAAACTCTATGATCCATGCACTGTGTTCTACTTTTAAAGCCCTTTCATTTGATACCCATATTGAGGGGATTGTGAAATAATATGTAATCCGCCATTTCGTAGCGGCGGCCATCTTGTATTATATAAATATCAGATGAATCTGTCAACAGGGGAGGGGTAAAATTTCAATTACTAAATATGACCGAAACAAACTGGGCAAGCTAAATAAAACCGTTTAAAAATATATGGTGGAATGAAAATATATATTATATATATATATTTGATATAAGAAGTTAAAGTTTTTTAAAATTTAAGGAAGGACATTCATTTTTTTAGTCTTATAAGTTGTGATTTTTTTAAATATTCAATTAGACTAACAAGAACAAAAAAGAAAGTATTTCTAATTTAGTTGCCTACCTCACGACTGTTCCATAATCATTTTTTTATTCAAATATAAGTAAATAAAAATATATAAATCTTATCAGTTATATTATAATTCCATATTCATTCATTAAGTATATATATTCCATATTCATACATAATTTAATTTCTTTTCTATTTCAATCCTTTTTGTTTGTCAAATACTATTGCGAATGTTAAAAAATATGCGAACATTCGCGAATGCGAATGCGAATATTCGTTACATCACTAATATTGTACTAATATTGTATTACAGTTTTTAATATAGAGGAAATTTTTTTTTGTTTGTATTGGATAAACTCTGTAGCTACTATATCGATTTTAATAATTCTTTCACTTATATATAACTGCATTATCCCAGAGTGTTATAGGCCATGATTTATATAATTTATTTAAAAAAAAGTCAATTTCACTCCAATAGAGGTCACTCCCTTTTTCTAAGAGAGCTACCAATATTAATATTTGATAACGTCCTGACTAGTTTTGGCCCCGATCCCAACCCACCAGCTCGCTTCCCTCGGGTTCGTCCCTAGGTTGAATCGCAATACAAATTTTCATCCCCATTTCAACCCCCTTAAGGAATGATTTCCGGAATAAAAAATATCATATCTCCTTCCCAGGGTCTCAAACTATCTTCTTAACAAATTTCATCTGAATCGGTCCAGTAGTTTTTGAGTTTATTCGTTACAAACCTACAAAAATACAAATCTTTCCTCTTTATAATAGTAGCGTAGATATATTTACTGTTCATTAAAAAGAGAATGATGAAAGTTGATATACAATTTGTAAAGGCTTATTTTAATAACCGGCCGGCGTATTTTTATAACCGACCATTTACGATGGGGTTCTTTGAAAACTAACAACGTTTAGTAGAGTTCTTCACGATCCTTTTGCAATGGAAATGAAAAAATAACTAATATTTCACCTCCAACACTCCAAACGGCTTCAAAAAGGGGGGAGGTTCTCAATTTGGCTGTTTTTTTGAATTTTTTATATGTTTGACACCACAGAATTCCGTCATTTATTAACCGATTTTAACAATTTTTGTTTTGTTTCAAAGTGTATACGTCCAGGTTGGACCCATTTAAATTTGAAAAAAAAAGACATTCCTAAGGTTGAAAAAATATGTAATGAAAATTTTACCTACTTCTAATTGTCATATTGACTTGACACTTTGCAAGTGTTTCTATTTCTGTTGATAGTGCAGTGGTTCGGTATTGTTGACCTGATCTGATGGTAAGGCCAGAAGGTCGATAGGTGGAATTCAACGGCTAATATTAGATATTTTGAGTTTGGGCTTATTTGATTTGACAAGCATATACGATACGTTAGAATTGGATTTTAGGACCTATGTAACTATTAAAAACGAATTTTAGTTTGTAGGTCTTCATATAAAAATTGGCATCAAACTAACTTAAATGGCTTAAGCAAATGTTTTATTAAAATATGTACTTTCTTCTTAATTGGCTACTACAATGTCTACACTAAAAATGGAAAATAAAAACTTTTGAAAAATAAATAAAAACGGGTTTCAAAAAATACTATAAAATAAAAAATAACCCATCGGTAAGTAGTATCATTTACCATAGATACCTATAATCATATATTTTTGAAATTGGTGTTCATTAATTTGTATCTGCTGGCACCGACTTCGAAAATATCTGATTAGGTAGGTATTTAGAGTAAATGAACACTACCAATCACTTATTTTTTAATTTTTTGGCGTTTTTTTGAAGTCGGATTTTTTAGTTTTATTAAAAAAATTTAAATAATCTGTAGGGATGAACATTTATTTATTATCACTCAGTATACAAATCGTAATTTGTATAATATTTTAAAACATTATATATTCTTTTAAAACTTTATTGTTTGGCTTCGTGTTCTTCTGGTTTTATGATACTCTGTCTATATCATTTCTTAGTCTAAGCATAGCACTTATAAGTAATAATCTATGTATATATTACCGTCACCTTTATACTTCGGTAATCATTAAATTCCAAACAGACCGACTCACGCATTTATATTAGTATATAATAACTTAACGGCTTTATTACAGGCTTAACCACTAAATGCCTCAACTTTACCCAACCATTGCACAATACGATATTTCTGAAACGTGTATTTACCATCCTGTTTGTAGGTTTGCACATTGCACCTAATCGTAGGTAGAACAAGTGTTTTCGTAATATAATAGCTCGGTTTGATTCACAATTTCTTACCAATTTCGTACATTCGATGCCCTTTCAGGTATAAATGATAGTTATAATTTAATGTTATTTTCATAGTTGCTATATTTTGCTCTATACAGGAATATTACGTCGATTAGTAGATTACTAGCATTGCCCGCGGCTCCGCCCGCGTTCAGATGACCAAAACCCAAATTCTTAGGTTTTACATATTAGTATACTCTTACAATGCAGTTTTTTGTTGTATTTTTTCTCAGAAATGAGATATTCTCCTGCGATAAAAA